CAAAATTTTGCAATAATAGAATAATCTTTGACGCACAAATACTGATAGTGAGATGAATCCATACAGCAAAATATGCTTTGTATCTTACATTCAGATATATCTGAAGTAGGAATTGCAAAGTAATCCAACATTTCATAAAATTCTGAATAGAAATGTGACACTAAGTAATACAGAGATAAATGAACCTCTTCATAATCCCTTCTTATATTTAACAGTGAATGTTTGTAGTATGATGAAAGTACCTTATGCATTGTTTCTCCTAATGTACCTGTGTTATAAATCAGACCTCTGTCCGTCTACCAGCAGTTTTGTGGATCTTATGTTCTGCTGATGACAGAAAATACCCAGTGACTTCTCTGGTTTAAGTTAGTGACCCATTCTGAAAGATTTGATGATACTATTCTTTTACAAGAAGATACAGGAGGTGACATGACTGCATTTTTCACAGATCTATAAGCATTACAGTCAGAAAAGGCTATTTTAATAACCTGCTCTGACGTCTTATATATTGCAGGCCGTAGATTTCATCTGACTGCTCCCTCATTTTGGACCCATAATTTCTGACTGAGCTGGAGCATACTTTTCTCTTGTCTTGAAATGCATCAGTCTTGATTTAAAGTCTCTGCAGTGGTAAATATAAACGTTACCACTGTAAATTCTAACTCAATTATATTTGCCATTATTTTATAACAGTGGCATTATTCCAGGGGAATATAGATTTCCCTTTGTTTCATATTTTGGTTGCCCTGTGTTGATTTCAGCCTTTAGCCCTTGCATTTCTGGTATATGTCTGTCTGCTTGGTGAAACAGGCTATTGTGCCGCATATCTTTCACGTAAGCTATTACTCACTGATTAGCTTGGTGAATGACTAATCTGTCACTGATGCTTCCGAATGTCTTGAACTCTGCTGTGCAGCATCCTGACTTCTTTTTTTAATTTGGTAGATCTGTTTTACAGTGTACAGAGAAGGGAAACGTTCTCTTGGCATGCACCTCTAATTCTTTATGGGTTTTGATTATAACTGTGTAAATCCTGTGTTTATGAATGCTGGCGTGCAATTTAATATGACAGTATACAACATCAGCTGCTCCCCTGGGCATTCTGTTTAGAAAGCTGCAGTCTAGGTGTGGGAAACCTGTGGTGCTTAGGCAGGCCACACAAATTGTTTTGGCTGACCCCTCATCCCTGAAGCTTTCTCGGCAATGGGCAGGGAGTGGGGTGCAGTGCGTAGGCATTGTCGTGGCTATTCCACTTCTGTGACTAAAGAGTGTGTAGTCACGTTGACTCATCTGGATTTTGGATATTTGACAGGATCACTGTTAATCACAGAGGAAAACTATGCCTGTGAATACCTGGCTTTATGATAGAGAGTATTGCCCTTGATTTGGTAAGAGGTTACGTGGAGGTAGTACTGCTTATCTGTGTGTTACTTATGGAATTTGGCAATTGATAATGTTTGGAAACAAAAATGATACAGAAGAGTTCTTGGTATGACTCAAAAAACTTAAAGTAATACCCCTCTGTCTTGCTATGTATTTATTTTAAATAGAACAGCCCCTTTATCTTACCGTTTTCCGCAACCATTATTATAAAACAATGTCATGCTCTTATTTATTCTTTACTTTTTTCAGCAAAGTGCAATAGCTGCTTCAAAGGCTATCTACTCTTGCGAAAGAAACTATTTATCAAAAAATTATCAGCCTAGGTGACAAGGGAAATTGTTTGCACTTTACTAGTGCCAAAGGGCTGATCTAATAAAAACAACTCTTGTAAGTCACCTCCATTGCATTATACAGCTACTAAGGTGGCAATGGTCATGACTGCAAATGAATACTTGTGATATTTCACACTTGCAGCAAAACAAATGTTTTGTGGCTTGCTATGTAAGACTTTACACCTGTATATAAACCATATGACAGCACTAAAATTATTTTGATTGGAATTTTATGCATTGCTGCCTTATTAGTTTTTTGGAAAAAAAAAAAAAAAGACTTCGATCTAGCATACATGCAAACATAGGATCTGCTCCTGTAATCAGCTTTACTAAGGCTCTACTAGGGGCCAAGCATCAATATTACCTTTGTTTCAAAATCAGTGATGTGTGACTTAGTCTGCTAAGTTACAGATTGATGTTATGTTCAGCATTGTCCAAACAATGTAATTAATACGCAAAGAAGCCAGAAATAACCCTGAAAAAGCTACTTCTCATGTCCATAAAGATGAAAGTATGCCTTTAGGTAAAGTTGATATTTCTCCACAAAAGCAATATGATAAACTGAAACAACCTGCATGTGTCTTGCTTGCTTCGAGCAAAAGTGTTTTGTGCCCAGGCACTGATTCACACGAGGGGGCCTGGCAGGAGCACGGTTAACCTTTCCCGATGGCCATCGCTGCGACTTCTCCAGTGTGCAGCAAGGGAGGAGTGGGAGTTCCCACCTGTACCTCAGCATTCATTGCTGTCCTTACGAGCTACACCTCTATTTGTGTAGTGCTCCTCAGGAACCACTGCTTTTGGGGAGTGTGATACTGCGGCGTTCAGACCAGCTCAATGTATTGGGTTTTATTAGGGAAATTTTCTCTTAGCTGTCAACTGACTGAAGTATATGGTTGTTTGGTTTTATCTTTTTTTTTTTTCCTCCTAGTCTATTGCTCATGTTACCAGCTGTTTATCTGCTTTTCTTCTTTTTATTCAGAAACGTAAAATGTGTTACTGATACTGCTTTTATGTCTTGAAAATGTTTTGAAGTACAACTATTTGGACAGCTCCCCATATTAGAGAGCTTTTATCCCATTTCATCAGAAGCAGGAAAGTGTGGGTAAAAAAAATAATCTTCATTCAAACCACTAGAGATTTGAACAGAATGGCTTACAGTGTGCCTGACAAGCTGAAGCTAGTTCTTACAGGACAGGTGAAGGGACTTGTTTAAAAATGTGACAGTTTGCATGGACCTTGTCTCACAAATTCTTCTTTCTTACTCCCTTGTTTTTATTTCCTTTCCACATGTTTATAGTTTGGAATTACAGACTTCTGTTAATGAGTATGCGATTAATGTTTGATGTGAGTTCAAATGTAAATAATTTGCAGTAGATGTGGTAGTGAATATTTTTTAAATTGGTGTATACAGCTTCAAAGATAGTAGGATAGCAGGTACTGAACTCGTGTTCAGCTAGAGTCCTGGTGAGAAAATTTAGCTGTGACTTGGTCAGCTTGTTCAGCATTTCCTCTGGACTTAGATCTATTCTATTGATTTATTAGAAAAACTGAAACAAAACAGAAAAATCCAACTGCTTCTTTTTTCTTATTCAGTGATACTTATTCTTAATGAATATCTTTCTACACAATAGTGAAAGAAATGAGCACTTCTGAGTATGTATTTATATTTGTTATCACTGTTGTAACATTTTAAAGAGTAGGATGCTCAGGTTTCCCAGTGGAGTAAGGCTACCAGAGATGTGTGCTAAGGCCTGATTTATGGTACATAATCATAAAGGATGTAGAAAATGGGGTAAATAGTGAAGATACAGTGTGCTGAAGATACTAAGCTCTTTCAGAAAGCTTTTATGGTAATAGATTATTGACTTTCATCTGATATTTTATCACTCTGTATAGATTAATGTGAAGTAATATATGTGAATGGAGGAAAAAGGTTCTATTTCTACATTAAATGAATTTCTATATGTAATGAATCTTGAACTGTATTATCATCCAGAAAAAAGTTATAGCAGCTAACTGTGTTTAAAATGTCAGCATAGTAGTTGTTGAAAGAGCAAATAAAATGTTAGGATGGGAATAGAGAACAAAGTGGAAATCATTATTATGCTACTGTACAGATTCATGGTTCACTTGCATCTTGAATATGATATGCTGATCTCTGTGTTACATCTTGGAAAGGGTATAGGAGGACAGAAAAGATAATATATCAAATACCAGCAGTGAGGATGATCAAATGTAGTTATTCTGTGTGAGAAACAACTAAATGAGCAAGGATTTATCAGGAAAAGAGATAGTGAAGGGAGGGAAACAACATAAATCATTACATTTTGAGTGGCATAAAGTATGTGAACAGGGTACTGTTGTTCATCATCTCATCCAATACCAGACCTAAGGGTATCGGATGGAATTGCCAAGAGGTAGGCTCAGGACAAAAGCAGTTGAGATGTCTCTTCTTATATGTGTGGAAATCAATCCCGCAGGTCATTTTAGGTGCTGCAAGCTTACAGGAGTTTACATGGGCAAACTCCTAGGAGAAACATTAACCCAAACCCAATACAAAGGCACAACCTCTGATTGAGAATGTCCCTGAGCAGCAAGTCTTTGAAGGTGGTGTAATGCTGTGGGGAGTATCTGTAGGGATTTAAATTCTTTCCTGTGTATCCACAGTAGGCCACTGTCAGAGACAGGGTACCGGGCTACACTGGCATTTTGGTCTGACCTTTTATAGCTGTTTGTATGCGTTTTATTTAATTTCTGTGTAGTTCAGTGTTGTTCTGCTTTCCCATGTCTCATCACTGACCAGGAATAAGAGAGATATAGGCTGGCAGATATGCTTATTTAAATTTATAATTTATACCTTAATTTCTCTTCATCTAGAACAGTTTTCCCACTGCTGCTGTGGTCTAATTTCAGGAGTAGGATGGAAGATGATTGCAAAAAGAAACAAGCAAACCAAACCAAAATAAACAAAAACCTTTTACATTGGCTTGCATCCTTTTCGTGTGAAGGATAATTTAAATTGTATGTGGTATTTGCTTGCTACTGAACTAGAAAAATTAGAAGTCTTGTGATTGCCAAGGGGAAGAAAGCAAATCAATGATACAGAATAATCAGAATTCTAGTTTTTATGAGCAAAAATAGTGTGACAAGAAATATGAAGAGAGACTTAACTCGTTCCCCCTTCCCAATTTTCTTTCCATCTAGAAAGAATCTATTGGCATGTTGATGATGTATGTTCTGTTGTGTTGTCTCTGGTTTATTACACCAGTGTTTTTTCTCTTGTAGGTTAACAGAACCTTCTGGATATTTAACAGATGGACCGATAAATTATAAATATAAAACTAAATGTACATGGTTAATTGAAGGATAGTAAGTATTTATTTTCATAGCTTAAATTTTCTGACGGTTTGGTACTCTGTATTCTAGAGATCTAAAGAACTCCTCAAGTAAAACCTGCACCTAGATACAATATAAATAGTTTTGGGTTTTTGTTTGGTTTTGTTTTTTGTTTACATGTTATAAAGATTTTTTTTTTTTAAAAAAATTTAAGTAGAATTTTCAGGATTGCTCAGAGTTGGCCTAATTCTATTCCCATTCAAAGTGCTGGCAAAAGATAGCCTGACATTGGAATCTGACCAGTGCTGTAAGCTCTCAAAACCCTATGATAAATTTCTTGCTTGTTTGAGTACCTTTACATAAGTTCCAAATGTGGTTACAGAATCCTATTACTGAAATCATTATCTTACTCTCCAATGATAAATCAGGAATGGCTTCAAGTACAGAATGCTTCCAGTCTAATGGTAATTATTCAGTTACATGTTGCTCAAAAGTTACTGCTTCTATCAAGTATTTTCTTTTGCATTCTTGTTTTCCTCCTCTACTTAATTTTAAAATCATATTGTGCCCACAGTTTATGCAGTTTAGATGTCTCGGGTCTGTTGCTAATTTTTCAGTTTATGCAGCATGGAAACAGACGGACACGCACAGAGAAATAATGAGACATATACCCTAGTATGGTTAACTGTTAAATGTACAAATTTGTTACATTTCAGTGGGACTGTTTTTCCCCCCAGGCTATGGGTCAGGATTTTGCTGAAGAATTCAGCTAGGTCCAAATTGTACTAACGTTCTAGGAGAAAATGACCCCCTTCTGTATTTCCATATTGTCATAATCTGTTGTTACTTTAGATGTCTGCTTTGTTGCTGCAGTTCAGTAATGATCTATCTGATCTCATTTTGGTCTGATTATATGCAGATAGTAATTTAAACACAGCAGCAATGAAGTTACGGGTAGTTTGCAAAATCATTTCAGTAAAAGCTTCAATATCTAGGTGACTAGGCTATAGCTGAGTATCTTTCTGACATAGCTAGACTTCTCTTTTTACCCAAGCTAGCTCAGGAATATTTGCATTGCACTACACTATGGTAAAGTGGAAACATGCCTCAGGACTGCATACAAACTCTGCTTTGAAGTTGGTCTTCACTCTGTTCCTCCTCTTTGCAGGAGATGGTAGAGTGGGTAGCTGGAGGAAACAATGTGCTGCACAGTATGTGGAAAAGTAATGCAACCCAGTAACATAGTGCAAAATGTCAACACGCAAGGAAGCCACATATGTATGTGATCCTCTCTCTCAAAAAATGAACAGAGTGCTCTCCAAATGATCTCTCACAAAAAAACCCCTTATGTTTTCCAAACTGAGAAACTGCACTGGAGTCTGTCCGTAGGGGGAAAAAAAAGAAAATGAAATAAAATAAAATCATCAGTATGTTGCATGGAATATATTTAGGAGTCTGCTAATTTTGTCATGTGAGAAAATTCCTCTTTCAGAAATCTTACAGTCCCTATCTGGATCTTTGCGAAAAACTGGTGGATAAAGGTATCTAGAGGTGAAGAGTGCACCTGTCTGGCGGTGGGGGGGTGGGGGGGGGGGGGGGGGGGGGACAGGGGTAGAGAAAAAAAAATAAAATCTTGTGCTAATATTGCTTGCTAATTTCAATTTTATGTTTAAAGATTTTTATTTTCAGTCACTAGTGCAATATGGGAATGAGGATGTGTAGGTGCTTTTTGTCTTGAAAGGCTCTTTAAACCTCATAGTCCTGACATTGTAAAGTAAAGCTGGTATATTAAAATGGGATATTTTAATTGCTTTGAATTCGTGGTTCTGAATACTGATAAAACCTGGTGAACTTGTTAACAAGTCTCTTGTTAACTTTAGGGATTATTAGACTTGGACTGAAGATGTTATTTTTAAAGTATTCGAAGATAAAATGAAATATTTGCTTGCCCTGAATTTTGTTATTTAACTCTTTGAAATGTTTAGTTAGTACTCAAAATGTTTTAATAGACTTATGCTGGCATGATCAATTTTGTAGTAAGTTCTTTATCTTATGAGCTCAATTCTCTTGTAAATAATATTTTACATCAATTCTTTTTTCAGCCCAAATGCAATACTAAGATTAAGATTTAATCACTTTGCCACAGAATGCAGTTGGGACCATATGTATGTATATGATGGAGATTCAATATATGCACCGTTAATAGCTGTATTTAGGTGAGTGTATTTATTAGCCTTTTAGTCCAGTTAGTCATATATGGACATTTTTAGTTTGTGGGGAAAAAATAATATTAGAGGCGTTAATTTGTTAAATAGCTTGCTTGCTTTTGTTAACATCATGGGAGCATGTATGTAAAGTTAGAGTAGGATAAATTGCAAAACACTACTTTTTTGGTTAGGTGATGTGGCTCATACTTAATGCTGACATTGCATGGAGTGTTAATGCTCATAGACAGGCAATCAGAAATGTATTTTCCAGTAGGCTTCCAATAGTGACTCCTGAGTTTTAATGTGCATTAAATGTGGTGCTGGCCAACAGTGTCAGTATCTGATCCTACTTAAGGGAGAATGGCAATCTGCAATTCTGCAAGGGAGAATCAGGCAATGTTGCACCACATGTAAGTTATGAAAAAATGGCTTCTAAATGCCCTCTACATTTCTGAATGAAGAGACTTGTTCAGGGCATTTGGTACAAAGGCTATCTTAAGCACTAATTTTGTAACGTATTTCCTTAGATTGCTTCATTGGGTATCATTGTGACTAAGTCATAGTGAGTAAAATTATCAAATTCTTCAAAGTCCTGGCGGAAAGCTCAAATTTGCTATCAACTAAAATGATAGGATTTCTTTCCTTTTTGTTACATTATTAGCTTATGAGAATTGCTACACAACTAAATCTTTTTTTCAGGTTAATATTTGTTGTCTAGAATCACAATATTACTTTGTAGCGAAGTTTAGAGATAAGCATAAAATCAATAACAATAAACAATGAGCATAACAACTAATACTGAATAAAGACTAATTATTTACCTTTCAAATGACAGTAAACCATTGAGGTGTAGAATTAGGTCCATGCACTGTGTTTCCTATGTGTCCAAGAGAGAAACAACAGAGCATATGAATTTTAACATTTGTTTCCTCCATTTCTGGACTTTACCAAAATGTTTCAGTTGGTTTGTTCCTACACTTCCATTAAAATTTTGGGAAACATTCCAGAAACAATATTCTATTCAAGCGGGCTATAGTTTATTGGAGAGAAGGCGCAGGATCCTAATCCTTTGAAATCAGTAGAAGTTTTATCTTGGGATATCCATTGAGTGCAAAGCTATATTAAAAAAACCCAAATCAACAAAACCCAACAAACCAGAAACTGTTTGTGCATCTATACACACATGCTCTGTGTGGCAGAAGTTGTACTTCATTTTGTGGTATGAAATACTGATTATACTGCTGAAGTTTAAGAAATACTAATTGCATAAATGGTAGTGCTTTCTCCTAAGGGAGCAAAGCTCAGGTCAATCCCTCTTTCCTGCCCACCTATAGCAATCTACCTGTTCTTCTCTCCTGATTCTCCTAAATTGTTACATAATTGCTTGGGTTTTTTTTTCCCTCCCAAAAGCTGTATTTATTAAATGTGTCTAGCTATTATTCAGCAGCCTGACTTGTAGTGTGAATGGAAGGAAAGAGGAGGTTCCTCTTCCTCTGTTCTTTACTTCTAATGTCTTTCAGTTTATTGATTGTTCATGTTTTCCTTAGGATTCCTATAACTTTAAATTTATATTTATAATGTGGCACTGTATTATGCAGGTGATCCTTTTTCTCAGTATTTTAATATATTGCTTGCTTTTCCTACTTCAGTCTCAAAGCTGGACATCTTAACATCTTTCTGAAGTTTTAAAAAGCATTTCAATTTCCATTGAAAATTGCCTTTTCATGGAAATTACTTAATTATCATACTTTCCAGGCTTGAAATTCTTCAATGAGATAAAATTTTAAAGGTGCAAATATTATGTGGAAATAGAATTCATGCTGAAAGGCAGTGAGAGTTAAGCACCTGTCTGAAGGATATATATTTTTTTTCCAAGTTAAAATAAGTTTTAGAAATTATACTGACAGTGCATGTACCCTCAGAATAATCTGATGTGAAATGTTGCATTACTGTGTGAGGGAGGAGGTTTGGTTTTTTTCCTGGAAAACTCTACCTTACCTTGCAGAGGCATGGACAAGTTTTATATGCATTTGTCATGGTGTGACCCCAGCCAGCAACTAAGCCCCACCCAGCTGCTCACTCACTCCCCCCCAGTGGGATGGGGAGGAGAATTGGAAGAGTGAAAGTGAGAAAAATGATGAGATAAAGACAGTTTAATAGGTAAAGCAAAACCCATGTGTACAAGCAAAGCAAGCAATTCGTTCATCACTTCCCGTTGGCAGGCAGGCCATGGTTTAGCCATCTACAGGAAAGCAGGGCTCCATCACACATAACAGTTACTTGAAGACAAATGCCATCACTCTGAACGTGTGCCCCCCCCCCCTTCCTTCTTCTTCTCCCAGCTTTATGTACTGACCGTGACATCATAAGGTATGGAATATCCCTTTGGTCAGTTGGGGTCAACTGTTCCGACTGTGTCCTCTCCCAGCTTCTTGTGCTCCCCCAGTCTCCTCACTGGTGGGGTGAGAGGCAGAAAAGGCCTCGACTCTGTGTAAGCCCTGCTCAGCAATAATGAAAGCACCTCTGTGTTATCAACACTATTTTCCGCACAAATCCAAAACACAACCCCGTACCAGCTACTATGAAGAAAATTAACTCTATCCTAGCTAAAACCAGCACAGCATTTTATTATTTGTTTTTTTTAAAAAAGAAGTTTTTGAATGAGATTTATGAGTTTGGTTGTTCATTCTATAAACAAGATGAGTAGCTAACTTTAAGTCTTTCCTTTTTTTCTCTTTCCTTCTCCCAAAGACTGATTTAAAACATTATTCTCATTTTCTTTTCCAGTGGTCTAATAGTCCCTGAAGTGCGTGGAAATGAAACTGTTCCTGAAGTAGTAACTACATCTGGCTATGCATTGCTGCACTTTTTTAGTGATGCTGCTTATAACCTAACTGGATTTAACATTTTTTACTCGTAAGTATTTTTCAATAAGTAATTACTTAGTTAATTAGCCTATCATTCCTTTCAGGAGAATGTCAAACCCAGGCAAAGTGTTTATCTATTGATTTTATTAATAGTGCAAGAGTTATGCTTGGTAACTCTTGTAAGAGTTACAGCTTTAAAGATGCAGCCTTTTCTTTTTTATATGTGCCAGCTGTTGATTGCAACTTCTGTCTCATTTGAGAACTGCTTGTGACATGTGATGTGATGTATCTTTATACCGTAAGCTTTAGTTGAAGAGGGGATTGCTTGGTCCTGTTAGACCTGTTTCGTCACGTGATAGTTTTCCCATGATTGAAGATATTCTTGTGCCTTTCTTTCAATTCCTTCAGATTCTGAAATACCAGTTTTTGGGATGTGGTAGCCAGCACTGCACTTCAGATGTGGAAGTACATGCAATATTTTTGTCATATCATTTATTAATTTAAAATTCGTATTTGTGCTTCTGACCATAGCTTTACTCTTGGTAGAATTCTTTGTTAAGTTATCTATAGAAAGATTTTTTCTGTAATTTGCAGCAGTTTGCCTTCCTCTTACCAGATAATAAATAACTATATGGAGTTTGGGAAACCTCACTGAAGATGTTATATTGGAAATGGCAGTCTAGAAGACTGGGTATTTTTTTTTTTTTAATCAGTTGACGTCAGTAAAGTGCAATCTACCTGGCAAACTGCTGTACTGTAATTAGATAACTGAAAAATGTATTCCGAAGCTTTTATTGCACTTTTTCTGTTTATCTTGGGAGCAAATGGCAATATGACATGGCATTCTTAAGAAATGAGCATATGTGCTCTGCATTCTTTTATGACTTGGTAATGTGGTGTGTGCTACATATAATTACCTAATTTTTTGGAAGATTTGAAATAAAAAAAAATGCCAGTTTTTAATTCCATTACATGCGTAACGCACGAAATTTTATGTACTCTTCTTGTTTCTTCTATTGCAATGGATACTTCTAAAAAATTTTTAAATGAGCCAACAGTAACTCTTTTTATGCTAAAAGAAGTACCTACGATTTCTTTTTATGGCTGTATTAATTATTTTTCTGTCACTGATCTGTTACCCTCTGCTTCCGTTACCCTCTTTCTTCCTTGATTTGGTCACCCCAAAGCAGGTTTTGAGTTCATCTTTGACTTCATCTTGATGGACAACTCGTGTTCCTTTATTTTGGGGAAGTCAGAAGCACAGCGTTTGTCACTAAAATACTATGCCAGTTGCAAACAACAATAGTTACGCCAGAGCTCTTGAGTAAATTTTGTGTTCCTTGGAGTCAGGCAACCTGCTTCCAACTGTACTGATCCAGTTTTTCTCATTCTGTTTGAATCCTTAATGAACCTGTTGGAATGGGAATATGTGTACTTTTAAACTGGTATCTCTATTGCTGGGAAGACTTAACTATTTACCTTCCTGCAGACCACTCTCCCTATGAAGTCAGGGGAGAGGTTCCTCCCAAATGTGGTATACAGCAGTTAATGCCATCAATGGTTTTAATGCAGTGTGTGTTGTTATGCAAAACCTACAGACATTTGCAGTTCAGACATGGAATTTTCTTTTTTGGTAGTGTAACAGAATCAGTCCTCCGAGGTGTGAGTCTTTAGAAAATGAGAACGCATCTCCTGACTGTCGTACCACAGCTACATTTGGCCAAAGGCCAGCCTTGACCAATTCCACTTTTCCAGTTCTTTCTTCCTTTGGTAAGAGCAAGGAAGGCTATTAAGAGTGTTGAACTCTCACATCTACAGGGAACAGTCTGTGTTATTTTCAGGGGTTTGTAGTAACAGTTTAGTCTGAGTTTCAATTCAGCTCTTTGCTGTGAGTCATCAAAAAATGTTTCAAATAGTCTTTGGACTCCATGAGGCACATACTGCCTGAGATCCATATTCTGTTCATGGAATCTCTTAGACCCACGTACTTCAATGTCCTCCATCCCTCCTCATCTCCAAGGAACTGCCTGCACTTCCAGAACCAGCTTGCATAATTTTGCAGATTCCAGTTGCCTGTGAACTCAGTGTTTAGTAGGGTGTATCACAGAAATGCTAAATCCCATGGCAGTCAGAGGCTAATCTTTCCTCTTTTTGCATCTCTGACTGCAGAGTTAAGTAGGCAAGGTTAAGGTGGCCCAATTATTAAGGATTCAAAGCATGAAGTGCTGCTTTTGGTAATTTCAAGATATTAGCCATCCTGTGTTTTTCCTTACTCATTTTTTCCAATTTTATTCTCCTTGGATTTTAGTTGTTGTTTTATAGTATGGGCCAAAGCCACTTGGGAGAGCCCTTTAAATGTATGCCTGTGGTGGAAAGTTTAAGAATTACTGCTCACAGTCACTTCCAGTTGGATATTCCTAGAGATAATAAGCATTTGAAGGGACTGACTAAAGAAAGAGTGCTTATACTGGAACACAGGAAAAATTAGGTGGTGGTCTGTCCAGGCAGGGCCTGTCCTTCTGCTTAATGTCAATACTTCTTAAAGTAGAAGATATTTGTGATCCTGATTGCATCACAGACTTTGTATGTAAGCCTGGAGAAACACCTTTTTGGCTTGCTCGCCTGTAAAATCATAATTAAACTTGTGTTTTATTAGTACATAGAAATTTTTCAGGAAAAAAAAGTAATTTAACAAATACTGTTAGAATACTGTCAGATAAAACCACTATCATCAACTATTGGCTTGTAATTTCCCTTATTTTACATATTTTTTTCAGAATTAATTCCTGTCCTAATAACTGCTCAGAACATGGAAAGTGTACGACAAGTGTGTCTGTACCAAGCCGGGTATACTGTGAGTGTGACAAGTATTGGAAAGGAGAAGCCTGTGATATCCCATATTGTAAAGCCAACTGTGGCAGTCCAGATCATGGCTACTGTGATTTGACAGGCGAGAAGCTGTGCGTTTGCAATGATAGCTGGCAAGGTAAGGTTTTTTTAATTTGGAATCAAGTTAATCTTTAAAAAAGAACTGCTTTTAATCCTATCTAGTATGCATATTAGCATCTTTAAAGACTAAACGTATGTGGAAAAATAATTTCTGGAGTAAATTTTTATGTGGATGTGTGTACTTTAATGCCATGAAAGTCTCACAGCTTTGTTATTTTCTGTCTGAAGATACTGCAGAAATATCTGACCTAAACTTTCTTGTGGTGGGCACTCTTCTTTTGGATCATTAATTTGAAAAAACAATGGCAGTAACTACTCAAGAGTTGTGAGCACTTCTGAAGACTAAGTTCTTCCATAGCCTCATTTCCTATTCTATTAATTTTTTTATGTCTAGATAGATTTGATTTTCTCCCCCCTCTTTCCTAATGTCACATCATCACGTCATATTTTTAGTGCTTCCTGAAGTAAGTGTTCACTGCCTAGTTTTTTGTTGTGTATTATTTCCATAGCCTCTCAATGAAAAAGGAAGGTAAGCTGTTTAGGTACGATGGCACAAGAATGTCTATGTGGACACCTGCTGTGGAGTAATGGATGTACTGTGAGCATGTGCTGCAGTTTTACTCCCAGTATTGTAAATAATTGTTTCTTATTAAAGATCAATTATTTATGATTATAAATGTTTAATTCACTTACTATAATTATGCTAAATGTTTGTGAATTTTTTCTTTTTATCCTTTACCACTCCTATTAGAAGTCTTAATTGGATTAGATTGCTATGCATTGAAATTGCCTTTCTTCTCTTAAAAGAAATACTAAAATACCTCCAGATGACTTAGCTGATATGCCCTCTTTCCATTACCTCCTGCCTCTACTTCTGTTTTATTGCTGTTTCTTTTTGCTTGTCAAAGGAAATGACTTTTTTACTCCTATTAGCTGTCACACCTATTAGACCAAAGACACCATGAGATTTAATACATTTCTTAATAATTAATGAAATTGTTCATTAAAAGGCAGTCAGTGCACCCACAGAAAGGAAGTGGGTTAGCAATATGGTCATTGAATGGAAACAGTGCAGACTCTTAATCTCTGTAAGGAAGTTGTGAATAGAACTTGCCACAAGAATATCACCCTTTTATTTGTGTATTGATTCCTTGCAATTTCAGATCACTGTGTGTAAAATGGGGAAAAGTCACAAATCTTTGGAAACGCTCTTTAGGCTATACCTTCATTTACAGTGCTATAATGTTCATTAGAAGTTTTGAGCATGAAATAAAATTAAAAGTCTAACTTTCACTGGTAGTACCTTCTTTTCATTTAGCATTTCTGTGCATACTAGCTTCCTATTCTTTCCTACAGTGAGTAGGATTATATAGAGATAATTTGCTTTGTTGTTCCTTGGATTTTCACTGAATTTACATACATTTCAAATTTTTTTTTTTTATTTATTCTATGACAGATGAACTGGCTTAGGTACATAATTGTTTTTCCTTATTAAACACAAAACAATACCAAACTTGCCGTAAGATCTCTGGGAGACTACTTGCTTATCTGTTCTACTTATTTATTTATTTTTTTTTAATTTATTTGCATCGATATACTCTATAGTTTAACTTATATATGGGGTAAACATATATATATATATATATATGTATACACACA